TTTTTTTTCAATCTAAATTTTCTTGGATTAGATCTGCATATCCTATGTCTTTATTCTTTAAATTTAAGATCTGAATTTTCTTTTCTTTAGTTGGTCTTGTGCTTGATGGTATAAGTAAGCATTTTTTGTTCATAACAGTATGACGGGTCGACCCGCCTGACTGTTAGACGACCAAGAATCTGTATTGTTTTTTAGTGTATACTTTTTGGGGGCAAGGAATTCTGGTGATTGCACTGGATCTTTTACCGTTGGATCAATATACAGTGACCTGAGTATGTGTTGATCTAACGATAAAAAAAAAAAAGTAAAAAAATTCGATTACCGCAGTGCAGTCACTGATAGTATCGAATTAAAACCGAATGCTCTCACTTATTAAAGAAATCTCTTCATTAAAGGAAATAGAGAAAAATATTAATTTAATTATCAAAAAATAGGAAAGATTTAGTATTAGGGAGATATGATCATATCTGGATATCCAAATTTAGATAGATTCTATAAAGACTATACTAGCCAATATATAATGTTAATTTTCTAGTGACAATTGTGTGTATAAGTTGATTGGATTTGAAGGATTTTTTTAGGGGTGAGCAAAACCGAACAATTCGGTGCGGTTCGGTTTGGTTTTTTAAGTAAAAAAAATTCAGTTTGGTTTCGGTTCCTTTTTTTTATATTGCAGTGCGGTGCGATTATTGTTTTTCATAAATTCGGTTTTCGATTTGTTCGGTTCGGTACGGTTTTGAACCGAACCGCTTAAAATTAAATAAAATGTATAGAAAAATCGAGAAAAAAATCGAAAACTGAACAAAACCATGCATTTCGGTGCGGTTTTTCATCGACTCACCCCTAGATTTTTTATTTATTTATTTTACTATTTTATTTTCAGATTTTGGTTTAATTTCTGTTCAGGTTTACTTTGTTGACAGCAGCATAATTTGGCTTTCTTTTGCTTTAGGTACATTGTAAAAGGGTGAAAAGCTTTTTTTCCCCTGTGGAAACGTGCGGTTTTACTTTTACTTTTACCCCACTGTACATTACTTTTTCCTTATGGATTTTAACATGTTAATATGATATGATTCTTATTGGTTCAGTGAAAAGTGTCAGATCAATATGTTTTTCTTGAAAATTCAAAGTAAAAAAAATAAAAAAATAAAAAAAAAAGAAGAGTTTTGTTTGTACAATGTTGCATCACATTAATAATGACTGACATTAAGAAAAAAAAAAAAGTTACGGTCAAAAGTTCCTGCGTGCCGTCAGTTATTTTACCTGTCTTGTTTGTTTCGAACTGATAATTACAATCTGTATGAATTGAAGTAGGCTATGGTCTCATATTTCCAAATCAAGAAAAAATGCCTCATATTTTATTACGGCGAGTCGAAGTTAGGCGTGTAAACGAGTCTAGCCGAGGTTCAGCACCATCGAGCCCTTAACGAGCCGAGTCGAGCTCAGCTCGTTAAATGAACGAGCCTGAAATAGAGCTCAAGTTTGACTCTGTTTATCGCTAATAATGAACTGAGTTCGAGCATTAACGAGTCGAAGTAGTGACAAAAAAATTCTTCACTAGAACTCTATTTTTTTGTAATGTATTTTGATTCTTTTCTAAAGTTATTAACATTTTTATATGTTGTTCGAGCCCGCCCACGGGCTCGTCCTGACTGTGACCGGTCCACGAAAATTAGGTTTAGGACCCGACTCAATTTTTTTATGAAGAATATAATCTGAACTATTTATGTGAAAATTATTTTCTTTGTAAAATACTCACTATATATGTTGCAAAATTCAAATTCCTTGGTGAAAATATTCTGTTTGTACAATGCTTGCTTGCATAACATTAAATATTATAAATAGTTGTACCAAAAAAAAAATATTATAAATAGTTAAATACCGCCTCTTGAAATATTAACTTCATGAAATTCTAATCCGGCAATTGTTTGCTATTGATAACAATGGGCCGGGTTGAGCCGGCTTTTTTTCGGAATATTGTCCGCCACCCCACCCTAATTTGTGACTCACGTCAGTCGTCAGAGCGGCCCTGCAATTTGGCTAGCTCGGACTAAGGCGTGGTCAAATGATGGGCCGTGATCTGGCGGGCCTCAATTTGATAGCCCGTACGGCCATTTCAATGGGCAGGTTCATTGAACAGTCTTTGAATTGCTGCCTTGCTGGGTCACCGACCTGTCGGTTCAGGCTCGACTCGGCGCATTAAAAAAGAATACAAATGCCGCCCGTTTTTTAACTCGCGGACCGACCCGACCCGGCCCGACTCGGACCACCAGAAGTCCGGGACAAGAAANNNNGGAAAAAAAAAAAAAACTAAGAACTGGAACCGACCGGCATGGCCAAGGTTTCGATTAAATGAACCGGCGAAATCCAGGCTGGTTGTGGACCAGGCTGGGACCGGTTCAGGGCCGTACATGAAATTTGCAGCAAAAACAATCACAAGAAAAGTACATAATATATCACTCACGAGTTTATTTCTCATCTCAGTGTACAATGTATACATAAAAAAAAATGAAAAAAAAAAACTCGGCTTCGCGCTTATTTCACCTCTCCTTAAATCCAACAACAGAGAACATAAAGAAAAAAAAAAATAGGAACCTGAAAATGAATTTCCGTTATCATTTTTACGAATGAATAAATCATAGGTCAGCCAGCATCAACACTTTGGCAGATCCGACGGCGGAGGAGGCAGCTTCCGATTGGGCATCTCACCGTTCAAAACTATCCACGCCATCTTCAAACCCCAGCTCAGGTGCACCTCAAAATGACAGTGCATGAACCAAACCCCTACACATTCAAACCCATACTTCAAAAACACAATAA